CAGCCCGACGAGAAAAAAATTAAATAGAGAAATTATAGACTGAAAATCGAAAAGGGTCAAAATGACCCCTGCCGCGGTTTTAGGTATATCTTTTCACAACTACCACAAAAATAGTCGTACAGCTTCGGGACTTTGTGTCGATACATTTGTCATCTTTTTACACGATGTCAAAAATATTCAACCCGACGAGAAAAAACTTAAATACAGAAATTAATAATTGAAAATCGAAAAGGGTCAAAATGACCCCTGCCGCGGTTCTAGTGTTAATATGTGGAAAGAAAATGAGCCCCCCCGCCCCCCAACTTAAGGGTCTAAATCAAGAAAGCTTGGCTTGGGTGAGAGTGGTAGCAAAAGTGTTGATGCCCTTGAGAAGCACGTAGGTTTTGAAGGCATCTCACCAGCTTCCTACCTGCTACTTGGGACGACATGCGTAGAGAGACTATAGACATGCGGAGGCATAGGGAAGTGCTGGGCCGTCTCAGTTGCGGGCCTAACAAGGGTAGGTCGATGCAACCGAGCTTTGGCAATCGGGAGCGGGTCATAACCGAGGGGTACATCACCTCTGACTTGTAGTCCAATCGGACTAGGTGACTGGATAATTGGAATATGGCTGGCCATGACCAGAAAAGCGACTGGAGCTTCTGGAGGTGATTTTTCCCGATTTTCCGACTGACTGGTGACTGGGAAAGTGATCAGTCCAGGTCCTACACTGTGACTAGTTGCAGAAATGTACCCCTCTCAGTCACAACGGCAGTCCTGTCCTCCCCCTGCATGGCATGACATGATATAAATCCCTAAATTTCTATCGCCATTTCCGAATGGATTGTCGGAGACTCTGATGGTAGGGGATCGTCCCGAAAGTGCGCCCGTCATTCGCCGTAACGAAACGGCTGGCCGAGCTTCGTCAGCGCAAGCTTTCAAATGACGCCTTTTAGGTAGGCAACTTCTCGCCTGCAGTGCACTCACTGTGAAAAATTGTCGTACCGGGTACAGGAAAATTTTGCATGGAAAAAGTCGTACAAGTACAATCTAAAATTGTACAATTTACTAGCCCTATGTATCGACTTGGAATCGAATATCGAGCGACAGTGGGAGGTTGTGCATGTACGACTCGTATTGTAAATGGCAAATTACAAAATATGTCGTACATGTACAAATATATTTTTCACAGTGCTGCGGGTCGGCCTACTCTGAGTCTCGCAGGCGCCGAGCTCTTCCGCAATGAGAAGAACGGGCTGCGCATGGCCAGACCGCCAGCCGCCCCAGGGGGGTTGCTCATGCTCAGGAACCAGGCCGGCGAACGAACAGGCAGTGAACGGGTGCGGGGAACGAACGGGCCCCATTGGCTCTTATGACGCGTTCGACGCTCCCGTTCGCTCATCCACCTCGTCCGTTCGTTTGTTCCTGAGCACCCCCCACCCCCTGACCTAATGGAGGTTTCCGATTGACAAATTCCCCCCGCGAGTCAATTGTTTTGGGCAAATTCACCAATCAGTACATCGCTGGCTATCTCAACTATCGCGGTGGTTGGGGGTACGCTCAGCGCAAGCGGCGCTCGATGTAAAAATAGTACAGAACCTCGGTCGCTCGATACACCCCTTTTCCTTCCATTTTACTTAGTGTATTTCGACAAACGGAGGAAGAAGAATAGCGGGTAGAACATAAAGGTTCCTGATTGGCCACTACCGGGCGTGACGTAGAGGCGGGAAGCTCTCGGCCAATCGGTCACGTTTATGTTCTACCCGCCATTCTTCTTCCTCCGTCAGTCGAAATACACTCTTCTTCACGCACGCCGTCTAGTGCTACTAACGCCGCCCAGCTCTCTGGAATACCCAATTCGGTCAGAGCAGCTACTAGCATTGAGAAATTAGTGCGACACAGTACTCTGTTCAGAGAATCCAAACATTTTCAGTTTGTTGACTGCAAATAGTGATTTGGTGTTGTTTGCAGTTTTGAACTGCAAATAGTACTATGTGTCTTATGAACAGTTAAGGCTGCGATTATTTTTTAGAGCCTTACACGCAGTTGCAACGGCAAATAATGAAATAGCGCTTATAAGCAGTGTTGACTGCTATTATTTCAGAAATGTCTATTCACAGTTGTGACTGCAAACAGTCGTTATCTATTTGCACGCAGTTTTAACTGCTAATAACAGCGGCCAAAAAAAAAAATACCAATAAAGGCAACCAAATGACAGAATCCACTTGCACGGGGTATGTATTAAAATTTAAGATTGGTAGTTAAAATAAAAATATAAAAAGACCTCCTTTACAACCTCTTTCATCATCTTTTGATTACACGACAATTCACCCCCTCCAAATCCGAACCCACGTCCATTCACCTTAGGAAAATTTGAACCCAATCAATTCACCCTGAGAAAATTCGAACCCATGTATTCACCCAACCCTTTTTTAAAATTTTAAAGCCAACACTAGCGCGGAGTATTGACGTATTCGAAATTCTTAATAGCCGAGGAGTATCAACAGCCATGTAGCGGAGTATGCCCGAGCATCAACAATAGCCTGGCGCTCCGGGGAAACACATCACACTTACACGCGGACTTCACGGGCATGGGTGAACAAGGAAAATTACTCCGGAGTGAACGTGGAGGATACATCCTATCATATAATGGTTACTTGTATAATAAGCACGGTGAGAACAAAGATGGAAGCCGTACTTATTGGATTTGCCGCAAAAAACCTGCGTGCAAGAAAAGAGCAATCACCAGCAGCCCCCAAGGTGAGTGAACGCTAGACGTACAAGCGTCCACACAGTTCAAAATTGGTCATTCAGAAGTATTAACTTACATTATTTTGCCATGCAGAAAATTCGGACACCGTAGATATTTTCAAGTTTGTGGATCACCCTTCACATCTTCCCGCTCCCGAGGAGGCCGAGGCTGTTGGCGCCTACAACCAGCTGAAGCGGAAAGCTGCAGAACATCCAAATGCTCCCCCTGCTCAGATACTACGCGAGGGGATGCCTGAGGTAAGACGTATACCGCTCGCGTTTGCTACGACTGGCCGACATTGTTGTAATCTGTATTTTCCGTATCTTCAGATCCCGCAGGGTGCTCTATTTCATCTCCCTGAGCGGCGTTCGATGAAGAGGACCTTCAATCGACTCCGCAATGCTGCTGCGAATTTGCCAGTAAACCCCAAGAGTTTGGAAGACGTCGGCGAAATACCTGCCGACTACACCATCACTCGCGGAAGAAAGCAGTTCCTGATCTTCGACTCCTACTTCGACGAGGACGACGAGGACGACGAAGACGAAGACGTAGAAGAACGGGACAGAAGAAGGCGGCAGAACAGAATTTTGATTTTTGCATCCAAAGATCACCTTCGGAAACTTGCAGCGTCAAGTGTGTGGCACCTAGATGGCACTTTCGACACCCCTCCAGAAATTTTTGCACAAATTCTGACTATGCATGGAGAGTACCATAATGAGACACTTCCATTAGTTTATGCTCTACTCCCCAACAAGACCCAAGACACCTACCATCGAGCCATCGACGCCGTGATCGACGCATGTGAGCGGTACCGATTGCGCCGCCCTGCTCCACGCACTGTCATCACCGACATGGAGAAAGGCCTGATGAACGCAGTCCAAGCCCTCTTCCCCGCCACCGAGCTCCGCCTCTGTCTCTTCCACTTGCGGCAGGCAGCATTCCGCAAAATACAAAGTCTCGGCCTGCAACCCGCCTACCAAGATGACAACAATGACACGGTGAGGACGTCATTCCGTGAGGTGGTGGGTCTCGCTTTCGTTCCCACGGAAGATGTCGAGGAAGCCTTCAATGAGGCAAAGGCTGCGGCGCCGAGGTCGATGCGAGACTTCGTCAAGTACTTCGAAGAGACCTACGTACTTGGGAAGCGCGCGCGCAATCGACGCCAGCGCCGGCCACCCCGCTACTTGCCTGCGCTGTGGAACCAGCACCAAGCTGCCCGAGACAACGAGCCGAGGACCAACAACCAGACTGAGGGTTGGCACAATCGATTTCAGTTGGTTGTGGGCAAGAGCCACCCCACACTATACAAGATAATCGACGAGTTCAAGAAAGAAGAGGCCGACACTCGGGTCATGCTGAACGAGATTGATGCCGGCCGCAGCATCAAACCACCTCAGCGACTGAAGTACAAGCGGATCAACGAGAG